AGTGGCGCTAAGGCTATTGGGCCAACTCCACCAATCAGGAGGAGACAGCCACGGACATTGCCGTTCGAAAGCGCTGGAGACGCTGTAGTACATATGCCAGGCCTGTAGATGGTGCTGTTCTCACAGAATCAGCCCATGCAAAGACAGTGTTAAATTGAGCGAAATGAGGAATGGCTGAAATGCATGATCTGTTTTGTATTTTAGAATAAAAAGAGTATAAAATTATCTCTTCTTTCCTCTCCTCACGTTTGTTGTTGTAGAGAGAAGATTTTATAACTTTTTATTACTTACAAATAAACAAAACAGATCAAGCATTTCAGCCATTCTCATTATCAAGCATCAATTATAAACACTGTCTTTGCATGGACTTTTATTCTGGAGAACAGCACCATCATACAGCCCTGGCATTTACTATACAGACGTCTCCAAGCCGCTTTTCGAAACGGCAATGTCGCGATGCATAGTCTCCTCCTAAATAATGGTGGAGTGGCCCAATAGCCTTAGCGCCACTTCTGTGACGTCATGAAGTGTCTTCAAATCTGGAATCAGGTCAGCTGTATTCAGATCCGTTGCAGCCCCTATATATAAGAAGATATTGAGAATATGGAGGAGGAAAATAGAGAGAGGTTAGTGTTTCTGACACATTGGTCGAGTTCCCCTGCAACACCCAGGGAGGGCACATTATTCATGTCTAAAAGAACTACAAAAGTTTGCAATTTGCATGATAGGGTCACCTTATAATAAAATATACAAAATGATGTAAATCTTTGCTTCCAATAGGTATTTACATATCCAGAATGATATGTAGGCAATGTTGGAAATTTGTTTCCTCTGCAGCGCAACGACAGATGACTTAGAGAGGAGCAGAAAAAGGCAGTATCTGTGCTTTGTTACCTCAGTGGCCGACAGCAGGCGGGGCAGTGTCAGCGACCGCGGGCCCACCAGCCTGCTTCATTACAACCTCCTCCAGGCCCCACCGCCAGGCTGGCTGTCAGCCCCAAACACACAGACTTAATGTTGGAAGTCGAGAGGTTAAAGGATTAGAAAAAATGTATAGAGGAAGTTGCTTCTTTTTCCAAAAAACAAAACCTTTTATCTTAAAGAGATCTTACCAAATTTTGGGGGAACCAAGGCTTTAACAATAACATCTTCATATTTCAACGTTGGGCGGCAAACATAAATTCGCAGCAACAATTTTGCAGTAAATACAATACGTCTTGATTTTTTCGAGAACATATCTCTTAAAGATTTAAATTAAAGATTCCAACATGTCCACCTGCTGTTTAATCGTGGGGGCCGACCTAAACAAAGCAGTAAACCAAAACAAAGCATGATGGGGACAGGAGAAGAAGTTTTTTCAACCCATACCCTGCATGCAAAGAATTTCAAACGGTTCACTGTCGAAGGAAATGAAATTACACACCTGCTGTGCTTTGGAACTGAAAGGAATGCATCACATAATGCTTTGAAGGGTGAGGGGCTAATGACGAGGAGGGAAAGAAGTTGAGAAAGGGGCCCATAACCTGAGGAACCCTCCCGCAAACCACCCACCGTACTCCTAGACCACAACATCTCATGAGAGTCCGCTGCGCACGTAAGGGGACTCCATCTTGCCATCTTGTCTTCAATGCCAGAGCAGCTGCCAGAGAGTGCGCATCAAGGGGCCAAGTATTGGCCAAGCTCCCACACATCAGGAGGCGTGACCCAATAGAAACCATGCCAGCGCACCATATGCCCTAAATTACTCCGAACAGCGCCTATGGATCAGTTTTAGCGAACCTGTATGCGGACGCTTATCATCTCTATATGGACACAGAGGGCCTTGATGTAGATGGTGCATGATACATATTTCTATTCGCACATCAGACAATATGCTGATTATAAACGTAGCAGAGTATAGATCTATGGTAGTTTGGCATGTTTTTTGTCAAACAATACAAATTATGTCTATCAAGTAATTTGGGGATCTGCTGACATTTAATTCAAAACACATCCCAATAAAATATTTAGAATGTCTTTCTGGTTACTAAGACACCTTTGAATGCTCATAATCAACTGAGGGATAAGGAACATGAAATGACTGAAGAGATCGTTCTTGTAGTTGTGTAGACGTATTTAATGTATAATATACACATCTCCTCTCTTAGCCTTCCGCTAGATCGTTCTGTTGGAGTATGTATTGTTAGAAGAGAGATTTTTCTTACCTTTATTCGACTTCATAATCATGCAAACACGGTTAACATTTGACGTTGTTAGACCACTCTCCCATGGTCGCGTTGTATCATTTACCTAGTACCTGCCATAGTCTGCTCTTCTGCACGAAACAGCACTCTCTCTCTACCGTGGCTGTTAGTGAATGCAACGGTGGACAGGTTAAAGGAACCCAAGGGTTAACAACGCTCAACTAGAACATAGCTTGTCTCCAGCAGCAGTACGATATCGCATAGAGACAGAGGCTGAGGCTCTTCCACAGATTGAGCGTGTCTCTTACGTCACACAACATAATAACGCCTGACACAGCTCCCTGTGTTTCCCGTCACACGAGAGTGAATCAATGTTCTGGAGTCATCCTGAGGATCAGAAACTCTCTTTAAGCTCACTCATTGATGGTTTGGATATAAAATGTCATGTGCGCAGTAATTATAGCAGATAGGACTTGAATGTTTTCTGATCGTGACCAAGATAAACCACTCGCCACCAGGCGCGCACGATACTTATGATACTCTGATTACAGATTCACTATATTAGATGGTGAATGTATGAGAATGATATTACCACTGTACAAAGAGAATGCACCTTCGCAAAATGGACGTAAAAATAATACCATGATGTACGTTCCCAGTGTTAATCTTCACAAGAGTTGCGTTTATGTGTAAATGTGAGGAATTTTTCACTCCTGCAGACGGCTAGACACCAGAGGGTGACCGCCATGAGTGGCGGTGGGACGAAAGACAAGAGCATGGAGTCCTGGATGTGAGCCCCTCGGAGCCCGACGCACGCTCCGGCAGATTGTCTGGTCGGAGTGGGCGCAGCGCCTAGCGCTGCATTCAATGCGCGACACTCTCTCTCCTCCCCAGCCCGGTCACTCAGTCCATCGCCCCACACTCACAAAGCATTTGGACTAGATGGCATATCCTAGCAAGCTATTCCGGAGGACAAAACAGATGTCTAGAAAAAGGAGTGCAAAGATAATATTCGACATCTGTATATGTATTCCCA